CGGTCAACGGCTGCTAATGCATCGCCCGTTCGCCGGCGAACCAAGCGAGAACCGACTCCAGATCAGGTCCAATTGCTTGATGCGTTACGCGACGTGACTGTCTCCCCGAATCAGCGCAACGGAGAAAACGAAGCGCAAGCAGAGAGGTCTACTGCAACGCCGACTCCTCCTATCCCACACACACTTTCCACCATGTCCAGTCCGGCCTCTCAAACCCTAGCGAACCCCAATTATCCTTCTCTGCCAATAGAACAACTGTATCCTTCCCCACTGCAGCGCATTGGCTCACCCACTCGCAACGACGTGTCTCTGGAAATGTCGCAAAATGCAGGCTTCGATGACAATGAATCAGTCATTTCGTGGATGGTAGAACGCGATATCCACGATGATGACCTGCAACGGACACGTTCCACTCGCTATCGCAAGGAACCAGTCGGCAAGAATATTACTGCACCGCCCCGTCGCTTTTCCGGGCTCGCTTTCGCAAATGAGACCATTGTAGAGGAAGTCGAACCTGATTCGCGTCTTTCCGTCTCGAAAACGCCTCGAGAACCGACAGTGGAATCTGAGGCACAATCGGACCATCAAACCGAGCCGGATCAGCCTCTGGAGCCTCAAAAGGAGCCTGTACCACAAGTGGAAGTGTCTTCGGCACCTGCGCGGACTATCATTCCAAATTTTTTTACGAAAGAACAGTCATTCAACAATTCTACCGCGCTGTCGTCAGACCAATCCTTCACAGACCACGCTCGATTAACACCAGCCACTTCTTTTATCCCTAGAGTATCAGTTTCTCTTCCATGGACACAAATTCTTCGAATAGCTGGTGCTATACTTCTGACCGCCTTATCTCTTCTCACCATTTACTCGTTCAGCGATAGACTTGCCAGCATACCACACGACATCGCCTCGCGCTTTCCCTTTCGCAATCCCGCGCCCTCAATTCCTTTGAACACTTCTGACTTAGAGGCGCTGAATAGTCTCAATAACCAAGTGATGAGATTAGGAGCGCAAGTTTCTTCTATCTCCAAGGAATTGAAAGTCGTCAAATCTGAGGTCAAACACGTCGCTGGCCCAACCGCTATCATCGAGCGCGTCAAAGTGCCTAAGAAGCCCAATTTTCTCAGTATAGGCACGGGCGTATTGGTAGATCCGCGCATGACAAGCCCAACCTACGGAGAGAAGAAATCCAGGCTGCCTAAGTGGCTGCAGGACCGGGTATCTGACTTGGGTACAGATCCGCGTCCAAAGCCGAATCCACCTCTTACGGCCTTGGTGCCCTGGGACAGTGTGGGAGATTGCTGGTGTAGCGCTCCACGAAACGGTGTGTCGCAGCTGGCTCTTCACTTGAGCCGGCCCATTGTACCGGAGGAGGTGGTTGTCGAGCATATTCCAAAACATGCTACCCTTAACCCAGGAGCTGCACCCAAGGAGATGGAGCTCTGGGTTCAATACACGATCAACAAAAGTACGTTTAGTGATCTTCCGACGGAAGCARGATCTGCCGGTTGGTATAAAGCCTACCTAAACTGGCTCCTCTCTTTTGAGTCTAAGGTACTCGAGACGGAGTACCAGTCTCCGATGCTATCAGAGCGCTTCTCACTGCACGACTATATAATGGGCTATCTTCGTCCCGCCTACCACAATGAACCGGAGAGTGCTTATTGGAACGCTACGACTTTGGGTCCGACATTTTACCGTGTAGGGAAGTGGAAGTATGATCTCCACGGGCAACACCACGTCCAGGAGTTCAGTTTGGATGCGATCATCGACCAGCCCGACATCCGTGTAGACCGAGTCGCTTTTCGCGTCAATTCAAATTGGGGGGCAAACTTTACCTGCTTCTATCGGTTGAAGTTATACGGTCACCTCTGATTTCCCACGGGGCTGCTGCATATTACGGAGATCGGACGACTACTACTGGGTAGCGAGATTCGATTGTGGAATCACTTTTGCTCTTTTGATTGGTCATTCTTCCAATCTTTCTCATTAAGCGTCCACCTACAAGAGTCGCCACAGCGACTGATAGCGGCTTCCGTCGAGCATGATTAGGGTCATCTGAATGACACCTACGTCCGAATTTCACGATTTTCTTGTTTTCTTTAACCTTTCCGCACATCTGCCCTCGCGGGTGTATTTCCATGGAAGCATAATCGGCGTTTACCTGACTTACAAGGGCTTTGGGCTTTGGGAGGCGCTTTGAAGGCTGTGATTCCCCCTTGACTGCAATAGGAATGCTTTAAATGCTTTCTTTAGCTTCTTTGTACCATATAGATGTTTCTTTATTGAATGCAGATTCAAAGCTGCTTGACTACTGGCAACGTGAGATGTACGAGCTTCTCAGTATGACCTTCTTCGCGAGAGCAGTTAACCCTAGATGCCTCACTAGGTAAAGATAAACCCAGATAGTATGAATTCTAAGTCTTGCGCTGTCTGGTCCGATGAGGATGCAGAACTTGCAGTTGGAGCCCGCCTGCGAGAGGCTTCTGAATAGGTCATCTGTTTCGCGCGTGCGTCTGGAGGTAAGGCCCCCCCGTCTAGCCAGTGGTTTTGGTCTCTGTTGCTTGTACCACGCAAGCCTGGCAGGGACGTCCTGAAGGAAAAGGCGCTGAGCATCGGCGTCACGGGTAATGCGGAAGTGCCAGTCAGGGTGGATCTCATCTCATCCATGAGAATCTTCACGCTGACCTTACGCTGACATCCGGACCAGCGACAGACACCTCACCCCTATAGATCACTGGCTTCTCCGCATCGATAGCATGCCACTCATCTGAGTACTTCTGAATCTCTGCATATGGAGTAATTTTATTTGTGGATGCGCTTCCCCTTGGAAAAGAGCGCTTCAAGCCGCGAGGAGTAGGAGGAGCCTGTTCAGCTACAACATATCCGGACTGAAGCCTGCATAGTTTTTCCTCATGTCTGAGATGAGCATCCTTCTGTGTAGAGAACCTGCTGTAATAGCAATAAGTTCTCTCCTCACCAGGCTCATTTTTTTCAAAGCGGAATCAGGGAGCCGGTTCGAAATTTAGTCGCCCATGAGCTGCTGAGCTGCTGAGCTGCTTTTTGCATCTGACAGGTCGCTTGAATGTACCAGCTGGAATAAGATGCGCATCATCTTCATTTGCCATTATCCGAGTAAACAGGTAACGACCTCTGGTAACAATCTTATGTGAGTCCGGGGGCTGAGTAGCGTTGCACGGCTGGACAATGCAGAGCTCACGGTCAGTGCTGAAGGCAACTGCACTCGGCGCTTCAGAGTGCCACCCGACATACCATCATACATACGTCCTGCCTAACAAGGTCAATATACCTGTTAAACTCCGTGTCTTTGTTAACTATCTCATTAGCATCTGTCCACTTCTTGCCGAGGCCATATTTTTGCAATAGATCATCCGATTCAAGACGAACAGACTCCTCCATGTGTCTGACAACAATTCGTAAGGCCAGAAATTGTATCTGAGTGATCTCGCTGCCTGATTTCATATATTCCCCCTTCAATTGATTGATTGCTGGCACCTTCGCTTCTTTAGTAATCTCATTTAGCTCTTCGGGCGTGGAAGGAATGAAAAAGCCCTTATTCATTATTAGTGTGAGGGCAAAAAAGGTGGTTGGAGTGGAGCAGCCTGCTCAGTCGCCCGCCGGACACTCCCCTGGCACTCAAGGCCGCAATTTGACGGCGAAAAGGACGATTCGAGCTGTGATTCAGGTATTCCTGGACAGCTGCACTTTGAGAAAAGGACGATCCGAGTAGAGAACCTTTACAAGGACCATCTGTAGTTCATGAGCTTGGTTCCTGCATATAGCACCACGCATGTCGCGCGGATCCTCGACAGGAATTGGCAGTGGCTCAATCCGCCATTTAGCTGACGCCAGGCAGATTTAGACTTCCAATGGCGGGTGAGCAGAATGGTGGTCATACCAAGAGGGGTGACGGCCATGGGATCAGGGATTGTCGTTCGTCTCAGCCTGCAAAGTCCCACGTATGACGGGCGCCTGCAGGAGACACGAGAATCAGCATTCGAGTAGATGCAACAATCTAGCTTGCGCAGACCAAAGTGCCTGAGAACACTCACCAATTCATTACTGTGGTCGTTTACGATATATGTGTTCACCTTATGCCTGGTCGTCGCAGGGAGGCTTCGTACCCAGGCCGGGAAACGTATTCAATATTATCAGAACCGGATAGACGGCCCATTTGGTGGAGGTGTTCAAAAGGTTTTGATCGATTCCTTGCCGGTGGTGAAAAGGAAGTCGTGATTCTGGATGGTCTCCGCGAATCACTACATCCTTTGCACCGCCGGCAAGGAATCGATCACGAATGGGTTTCGGTGCCCCCGACCCTGCTAAGCAAGTAGATCATGCGAAAGCCTTGCTGGTCGAGGTACACTTGCCGCAAGGGACTATACACAAATTTCAGAAGGTGTGCTGGTTATGGATGTCTCAGGGTCGTGGATCCTAGTCCTGGGCGCGTCCATACTGAAGGAAGACGTAAGAAGAAAGAGAAAAGAGGGCGATGGCGAGAGGGAGATGAGAATTGTTGACTTAGCTAGGGAGTTGAGTGAATTTATAGACCAGAATGGGGAGTTGAACAAAGGTAGTAGTGCCTCTTACTAGTGAATCCACAGCAACCTATCATTGAATATCTAGCAGACCCAGGGACAAACAAGTCATGCATCATTGAAAGGAAGTGAATGATGAGAATCAAACAGCTTGGTCATGTTGCAGACAGTGGTTTGAGGCAATCAGGACATAATGACGATTACACAAGACAATTTGAGCCCTTTATCAATATAGCCACACACAGGGGTTTTATATCTCAAGTTTTGCGGGATTGTGCATCATCTATATTCCACAGCAAGTGAAAACGAAGCTCATGCAAGGCACTGCGAGACAAGATTGTCTACGATAGACTGGTCTAATAGAGTGGAATGGAGGTCAGCTCATGGTTCATCTCTCCCGAAAATACACAGTAAGGCTTCTAGCAATGGCATCTATACAGATCAACTCCCCGAGTCAAACTCAGGATTCACCCATGATGGCAGTGGTGACTTCTTCCGCATCGTCGTGCCAAACCAGTGCAATAATGCAAATACGGCCGTTCCAGCAATCGCAACGATCAAAGCCTGCGTGGTAAACGTCCATGTGTATCCTGCCGTGGCCTGCCATTGTGCAATGAAGAACTGGAGATGTCAGGTCAGCTACCAACTCAGCAGTCAACAAGTTCTTATTAAAGGAACATACTGGGTTGATAAAGGCACTCAAGTTGAGGAAGACAGCATAGAAGTTGATCACAGCAGTGGACTGAAGGGGATAGCTATCGATGATATAGCTGCTTGTGACGGTATTTCCGATCTGGATTCCAGCTGCGACTGAGAACTGTCAGTAATGATTCGTCACTCCATCAGCTGGACAGACTTACATAGGAAGAACGCGACTTGACCAACCATCCAATGGTAGTTCTTGTCTATACTGACACCCCAGACAACAAGTCCAACTGACATCCGAATTAGCCCCTACTGTGCAAGCTAACCGAACGTTTAACTCACCAGCTGTGATGAGGATAGCAGGGTAGGCCAGCCACAGGCGCATCTCCGCGACACGCCCGCTGCCGTTCCTCTTCGCCAATCTCCCAACGATATAGTCACTCAGTCTACCCGAGCAACAGATCTCCGAGGTCACTGTCCCCAGAAACAACCCAAGAAACAGCAGTCCTTGAATCAACGGGGTGTACGACGCGTACGCAGCAGGTACCATCGTGATGACCGATAAAATCCACCAATACCACAAGAAACAGTATCCAATAACGCTGATAACGACGACGGGGAATCGGAAAGTGAGGACAAAGCGAACGATAGAGTCCCATGGTTTGGGATGCCGCATGCCGGGAACAGGTCTGACATTGAAAAAGCCAAGCTCTTTGGTTCTTGGAATGGCAGGTCCGGCTGCTGCTGCCACGCTCCCAGTCTTCTCACCAGCTGGGCTTTGTTCAATATCTGAAGAGCTCGGAGGTTTATGGCCTTCCCGCGGCATGCGCTGTAGCATAGTTGCGCGTGGATACAGAGTTTCGGGCATGAGGAAGAGTTCGAGAACCAGCAGTGCGGCGAAGAGAATAGCGTTGAACCAGTTGATCCATGCTGCGCTCACTACATTCAAGAAGCCACCAACTTGGAAGCCTTAGCATGGGCCATGGGGAGAGATAGTTGAATCACTCACAGGTTGGCCCCAACAAGAGTCCAGAGTCAATCGCCAGAACCCACAAGCCAAGTTTCTGTCCGCGTTCATAGTCAAAGAAAAGATCATTGACTTTCGACGTTGAGTCAGTACCTCGGTCACTGTTGATCAAGAGGATGCAGAGGTACCTACCAACCGCCATTCCAACCGTCGCCGCTGGGCTAACTCCGAATCCTTGGAAGAATCGAGCAGCCATGTATCCGCTATAATTGTCTGCCACCGCTACCCCGATTGTCGACACGAGGGCAATGATTGTTCCGGTAATGAAAATGGTGCGACGGCCGTATATGTCGCTGAACGAAGTCCAAAAGAGGGACCGACTGCCAGACCCAGCGCAGGAATCGCAACTGTCCAGTTGACTTCCGAGTAGCTAATGCTGAACTGAGACTGGAGCTCAGGGAATGAAGGGACTGTTGTTGTCGTGATGTAGGTGAATAGGAAATATCTTCAAACATTAGCAACGGCTCGCAGATATGTTGAGCTATGCGAGGACTGACTTGAACATAACAACTCCCAAGATGGTATGCTTCTCAAGTCTCGACCAGTTCAGCGGATCCAAGGGATCTGAAGTCGGTTGAGGATGTATCTTGATTCCATTTTGCTCTATGGTAGTCTCGCCGATGAGTCCCAGCTCAATTGGAGCAGACTGCTTCTCACTGACTCTCTGCGAATCGCGTAGATCGGCTTTGGTTAGTTCTTTTTCCATAGTATATTCGGGAGAATTCGATTGAGAATGAGAGTCTTGTTGATGGACCTATAGGTCATTCTGTCTTGAATGTATTCGGCATTCGACGGTATAAAAGGTCTGTCTACAACCACACCATGGAATAGAATAGCCATAAAGGCCAGAGTACCTGACCTTACAGGAGTATAGTGCGTTCAAGCCATTGTCAAATCAAAAGGTGAGTTGATATCAAAAAGAACTTCTTATCTGTGCGTGTTTTGTCTGGAGTATTTTTCCGGCGATCAACTGCTAAGTCCAATGCTTGACTAAGACTGTGTAAGTGATAAGCATATCAGGCCTCGCTGGATATCCATCTTTTCTAAATGGTTATTAGGGCCTCAGTGGCGCAACATGGCTTTGCGTTTCTTGATATGTCGATGAACTCTACTACAAGCCAAGATGAGTGGCGTTTTAGTCCACAAAATATCTAGAGAGTTTCTCACCAGTTAACTGTTGCAGGTAATTGATAAGAGAAGATTGATTGATGACTGTCATTGTATTTGTTTTATCAGAAATTGATGAGCTCTTGACGTTGGCTCTTCTGGTCTTGAGGCCGTGCACCAAGTTCGAGAAGAGCTTCGGTTCTCCGAGGCCAATCAACCACGTACTTTTCTTTTTCTCGCTACTCTTAAATAGTGTTACAGATCACCTTCCCATTTGGGGCAATATTCGGAGAGGGAGACTGTTTATTGTACTCCAGTTGTTGTCTCCACGACTATCTGCATTACATGGCGGCCAGCATAGATAAAGGCTCCGTGATCGGACCGTCTGATGGGGAATGGCCAGACTGCTTGCAGTAGTTTACAGACCAGTTCCATGCATTGAACTGTCTTCTATCTGTACTGTGCGGGTCATGCAAGTCAGAGGAAGTCGTCAAGACGGTTCAGTTGTCGACCCAATGCTTGACTTTGCTCGTTTAGAGTCGGTTGGCGTCATCCACCGGTCGTTGAGATAGCAGAGATGCGCATTTTGTGGGTGCTTAGGATGGTGAGACAGCGAAGTGACAGTAAACAAAATTTGAGACTGACGATAGGAAACTGATCTAAAGCCGCTTCGCTGGGTTGGTTGCTTGATAGACTTACACTGTTTATTGGGTCTCTGATCTATTCGGAAGACGCTTACTGCCAACCCAGTGGGTCAGCTTCTCGCTTAGACATGTTGATGTATATGTGATATATAGATTAATTCCTGACGCTGTCCTATGCATCCTATACATGACCCTTCTGCCATTGACAAAATGCCCGACACACCTGTTCCAATTCGCAGGAGTACCTCCTTCACAGATAGAGACAATCCAACCGAGTATGCTTCTCTCCTCCCAAAGCCAACAGACATTGACAGCTCGCGCCTGAACGGCGAGACGACCGTTGCTGGCGAGGACGATGTCTCGAACCACAGCCTTGTCATCGCAGAATTCTGGTACCTGCTCAAGGGATCAATCCCGGTAATCCTAGCCTATACACTCCAAAACAGTCTACAAACCTCCTCCGTGCTGATTGTCGGACGTTTGTCGCCGGAGCACCTCGCTACATCCGCCTTCTCCCTCATGTTCGCCATGATCACGGCGTGGATGATTGCGCTAGGAGGCACGACCGCATTGGATACGCTTGCCTCGTCTTCGTTTACGGGGAGCTCGAACAAGCATGATCTGGGGATCCTGCTGCAGCGGGGCTTCTTCGTGCTCGGTCTTTTCTATATCCCCGTTGCTATTCTTTGGGCTTGTTCTGAGCACGTTTTTCTTTTCTTGGGTCAGGATCCGGTTCTCTCGAGAGGCAGTGCACGGTTTCTCACGTGTCTGATTCCCGGAGGTTTGGGGTATATCTACTTCGAGGTCATGAAAAAGTATCTCCAGGCTCGAGGTATGTCTCTTCCTTCTCTTTGTTAATTTCCCCCCTAAAGATCGACTCATAGGAATCATGCGGCCGGGAACCTACGTCCTCCTGATCACCTCCCCCTTCAACGCCGCCTTGAACTACCTCTTCTGCTACACCTTCGAGATGGGTCTGCTAGGCGCTCCCGTTGCAACAGGTATATCCTACTGGCTATCCTTTGCCCTCCTCGTCCTGTATGCACGGTTCATCGCCGGCTCGGAGTGCTGGGGCGGCTGGTCGCGAGAAGCCTTCCACAACCTCGGCACATTCGCCCGTCTCGCCTTCCTGGGTGTCATCCACGTCGGCACGGAGTGGTGGGCGTTTGAGATCGTCGCCCTCGCCGCTGGCCGACTGGGGACAATCCCGCTAGCTGCGCAGACCGTTATCATGACAGCAGACCAGGTCCTCAATACCATCCCGTTTGGGGTGGGCGTTGCCGCATCGGCGCGCGTCGGCAATCTCCTCGGAGCTAGGAATGCGGGTGGTGCGGCTCGTGCTGCGAATACGGCAGCGTGGTTGAGTATGTTGCTTGGTGGGGTGGTGTTGGCCGTGCTTATGGGTACAAGGAACGACTTTGCGAGGATCTTTAATGATGACGAAGGGGTCGTGCGGCTGACGGCCGAGGTGTTGCCGTATGTTGCTCTGTTCCAGATTGCGGATGGGTTGAATGGGAGCTGTGGGGGGTCTGCGAGGGATGGGCCGCCAGCATGTGGGCGCTATGGTGAACCTGGTCAGCTATTACTGTGGCGCGTTGCCTCTGGGGATCTGGCTTGCGTTTCATGGGGTCTGAAGGGACTATGGGTGGGACAATGTATTGCGCTTTATATTGTTGGGGTGTTGGAGTGGTTGATTGTGGCTTTTAGCAATTGGGATACGGAGGTGGGAAAGGCCTTTCAGCGGATGGATGTGCATGAGCGTCTTGAGACGGGGCTCTAGATACAGTAGTAGCTACTGGAGGAATAGACAAAACAAATTGAATAATTCATGAGCGAAACGATGCTAAGGCACTGTCTGCTTCTCACTACCTGTGAGATGTACATAGGTGCCTGAGGCAGATCAAAGGTACCAGTGTTTTCGACACTCTCCCATTATCCGAAGCTGTAGATCGAAGAATCTTCACGCGTCTTGTCAGCAGACGCTTATTGGTAAGAATAAGGCGATAAGAGCATGCTGCTGCTAACACTATTTCTTTTGGTCATCATTGGAAAAGGGACCATATCACCATATGACAAGAACAAGAAAGGCACAAGAGTTGTTCGCTGTCTGTCGATGGTCTAAAAAGGACGATTGAGAAGAAGCAAAACGAGACCAGTGGCTGCAGATAAGCTATGCTTCCCCAGAATTAAAAGAGTATCCACCGGGAATGTCAACTCATCATGCAGCTTAACTTTTCCCCATGGAATAATACAAGAGGACACGTTGAAATAGGGTTGAGTGTTATCAGGGACACAACCCACATCAAGATAGCGTCGAGATAAGCCACCAGCATCAACTGATAAGAAGTCAGCTATCAATTCGTCTTTTGCTTCGTTGATATTTCTGGAACCTTGTCTTCATCCTCTTCCGGCCTTCCTTTCCGGGAAAGGGATCTGAAATTAGCATGGCTAGATTGTATATTGTTTTTCCCAGTATCCGCCCAAGCGAAGCTTCAGCCAACGGCGCTGATGTCACTGCTGCATTCCTGCCCCATAGGCATATCCTCCTGACGAAATGCGTTTCTGCAGATACAGATCCTGCCTGGTTGAGCACTAGTTCTCGTGCTATTACCTGGATTTGATCAAGTGCAGAAACACAAGCCGCCAGCCGTTGCGATTCTGGCCCACTGAGCTCTGAATTCTTGGAGCCTAACTCTGTCGGTGATAGACATCTGAAGTCGAATTGACTTTGTTTGTTCGATATAGGAAGTTGTCCGGAGAGGTGATGCCTTACGCAGAATATCCTCCAATGATTGCAAGATCGTCAACCTGTGCGAAATCGGAGTACTCATCTGTCGAGCTTCGACTCCGCGGACGCCAGCTATCTGCGAGACCATGCACGGAATGGACGGAAAGTTTGCATGGGACTGTGTGGTCATAAATATATCCATCTTCCTTCGTAGCCTATGGAATCTTTCTCATCCACAAGGTTCTCAATATAAGCACACTAGTACTGCAACATGATCACTTCCACGCTGAGTCTTTTGGCACTTTCCGCCTTTGCGTCTGCGCATAGCGATCATCGGCAACAGGCCATCGCTGGTCCGCATCAAAGTCTGTGGTACAATACTATTCCAGGTGATGGTGGTACTCAGGCGGACTCCGTCTTCTCTGGCATCTCGACCTTCGGTCGTCTGCCCTACTTTCCGTGTCTCTCCAGCGAGGCAGAGAAATACGATATCGCCTTCGTCGGTGAGTTTGAATCTGTCTACTGGCTCGTTTGTGGAGTGCTCACAGTCCAGGCGCTCCCTTCGATACTGGCACCTCGTACAGACCTGGTGCAAGATTCGGCCCGAGTGGCATCAGACAAGGTTCTCGCCGTCTTAATCTCTAGTACGTTGATAATGACTACCATGCTTACATTGGTGTTTTTGGCAAGGCTCACGTAAATTGGGATCTAGCGGTGGCTACAATGTACCATTGGAGGCGAATCCATTCGTTAGTGAGCTGAAGGTTTTGGATTGTGGTGATATCCCTGTGACATCGTATGTTTCCTTCTGTCAACAATGTCATGACTTTGCTAACTGGCGGACAGGTACGACAATGCTTGGGCCATCCAGCAGATCGAAGAAGGACACAACAGCCTGCTCATGCGCAAGCCTTTCACCGATGCGGACGCTGAAGGATTGTCCAGGGCCGGAAAGACTCTGCCGCGCGTCATCACCCTGGGTGGTGATCATACCATCACACTGCCGTTGCTGCGCAGTATCAACAAGGCTTACGGACCCGTGACTGTGATCCATTTTGACAGTCATCTGTAGGTTTATGTCCATGACGAAGGGCAGAATTTGAATTGACAAGTCTCCAGGGACACATGGAAGCCCAAGGTCTTTGGCGGTTCGCCTAGTCAGGTTGCCGCTATCAATCACGGAACCTACTTCTACCATGCTGCCATGGAAGGTCTCCTGAAGAACGACACCAACATCCACGCCGGCATCAGGACGACCCTTTCTGGACCCTCTGACTATGAGAACGACGGGTACTGCGGCTTCGAGATTGTCGAGGCGCGTGAAATTGACACTATCGGTCAGAGTCCACTCCAACGAGTGACTAGCACGATTGACAATATGCTAACATGCCAGCAGGAACCGAAGGAATTATCAAGAAGATCAGAGACCGCGTCGGCACCGAGAACCCCGTCTACCTTTCCATTGACATCGATACTCTTGACCCTGCCTGTAAGTTTCTGCCACGATTTCAAGCATTGCTCTTCTGACGAAAGCAGTTGCACCTGCAACCGGAACCCCCGAGACTGGAGGCTGGTCGACCCGTGAACTGCGCACCATCATCCGTGGTCTTGATGGCCTCAACTTCATCGGCGCGGATATCGTCGAGGTCGCTCCAGCTTATGATACCAACGCAGAGCTTTCGACCATGTATGTTTCCTGTTATTGGTTTTGAGATTGTGATTGACCGTGTCTTAGGGCCGCTGCGGATGTTCTTTACGAGGTTCTTACCATCATGGTCAAGAAAGGACCATTGTCTATTTCCAAGGGACATGAGTTGTAGCGCGAAGATCATAAACCCTTGAAGACAATGCTATATATATCTATATGAAGGATATATATTCATATATAACACTCCCTAGCATAGGGTTGGGAGCAATTATTCTTTTCGGTATCAGAGATAGGACGCCCTTCCCGCGAAGGCAGGGCTTCAGAAAACACTTTCCTATCATAGTCATATCTTGTTTCCAAAATAATATACACATATCACATCTGTGCGCAGCCCCTTGTATCGGAGAAAAGCAAAGTGCAGAAACCTAAATCCAGTGACAGATGATGTTTGACTAGTCTACTACTACTCTACTTTTTCTGATACGTTATCATTTCGCGCTGAGTAGAGTACTGTGTCAACATTCATGAAATGATCAGTTAATTCCAGGATAAGCTCTCGCAAAATAGACCAGATCCAAACCGAGCGATCAATAATCCATCTGGTCTAGTGTAAGTGTAACGAGCATCAATAATCCAGCATCGAGTCCTTGCATCCGACAGGGATCTTGCCGACTTGCAGGGCTGTCAGAGCCAATGTTATCAGATATCTGCATTGCGAGCCGGGATCCGAGGGTTGTAGCGTATCTCAATGACCCCCTTGCTTTTTATGGTTCTATCTGGCTGTTTGACAAGCCGTACTCAGATGCGATGCGGCGTTTGAGTGGGAGATGGTTCGCTGTGGCTTTTGATATGCTTTCACTGGGCTGAGGTGATTGGGCTGCTGGATACTCGTACTGAAGGAGCTTAAGAGCACGGTCCAACAGCTCGTCTGAAGATATTGCGAGGAGTTGACTTTTGGCGATGAAACTGGTGGGATTTAGTACGGCGGATTTGAAGGATCTCTTTGAATGTATTTAGGACCGTGGTGTTTGAATTCCTGCTATGGGTTGAAGATCCAGTCTAGACTAAGGTATGAAAGAGGAATGCTCGATAGAACCGCTGTCAAGCATTTATCCAATAATTTCGATTGGCATGGCTGCGTAGCTATATGTCTGGTTGATCCTAATAATAAATAAATCCTTTCACTCACCAAGACATCAACCTCATGGCAGATGTCAGCTTCCTAGGTAAGTATGTGATGATCAATTTGGTTTCCGTTTTGGTCTTCCAGCCCGTTTGTTAGCAGATGTGACATGGCGATCGAAATTTAACTTTGTAAGTTCGAGGTTGGAGGAACCAACTATTAAGGTAACTGTCAGTGTCAAGCCGTAGGATCTCTACTAAGGTTGACTTGGTAAATTGATATCAATATCCTTTGAACAGTGAACACAAATGTCAGATCGTCGGTGCCTGACTCTCAGTCTCGGCGAAATGGCAAGGACCTAGCCTTCAGGATCGTCCCCCTTGACAGCACTTGAATCACCGATTGTTTCACATCTGATTTAACTTCTCTTTTCCCAATGACAGATTCAGGAACATGCGATGACATGTGGTCCGTGAATAACGGATATCATAATAGATAATCTGTATACATACGGAGTACATGGGCCATGAGTTCCATTCATGCTTGATTACATCAACAAACGGTCCTCGACTATCGAGTAACAGGCCCGTTTGTCGAGGTCGTTCCCAGAGACAGACATAATGTCAAACGAACTTTATGCATCATCACGACTCGACAATTGCATCCCCCGGCAAATAATATGCGGATATCCGGTCCTACCGGCAAAGATTGTGGTTCCTGGATTGATTTATCGAGAGTCCACGGACTCCACTGTAGCTAACCGTGGAACCTCATTCCGGGCCATGTGGGAAGCCGTGGTTGACAGTAGTAGTAGTAGTAGTAGTAGTAGTAGTAGTAGTAGTAGTAGTAGTAGTGCACTGTTGTCGAACCGATCCAGGAACGCATGACAAGGCGTCTAGGTAGTTGGGTACAGTAGTACAGTCTTGTCTGAGACAGTTGATCGTTGAGATGGCTCATATTAAGTCCTTCCCCCAGTCGTTCTCTAAGCCAGTCTAGGCCTATCTAGTCCAGGCCCCACTCGTTTTCCCCTGGCGTCCTCCTGCAGTCGTAAGTTAGATGAGGGATTAAGGTACCACCGATGTATTTTTGGGTGTCCACAACCTCTCCTTCATGATATCTTTTCTTCTTCAATGAATTCGCCATGATAATTATAGACCACAATTTGAGTACGCCATGTAATTGATAGAGATCGACCTGAATGATGTCCCTTGTTCAATATGATGTGGCAGTCGAGACGGGAGTCGTCACATTTAATACAGCCGTTTAACCCGTCCTGGTAAA